GAGAGAGAGAGAGAGAGCAGAAGCTAGAGGGTACATAGTGATTCTAGCTAGGAGGTCATGGACGTGTGTAAGTGGTATTAGGACATCTCCAACGCTGACCCGTAAATTTGCTCCGGCATCCATCCGTGGATATGGAGATCAATCAGTAGGCACGGATGCGGGAACAGGTCATCCAACGCTGCCCGCATATATTTGAAATACCGTTTCAACTAACCAGATGAAATTCATGCAAGCACGTCAGATTTTCATATAAACCGGACGAGATTCATGCAAATGGCGAATTTTCATTACATTTCAAAAATTTAGGAAAAACAAACTGACCGAAACCTATCCTACAGTGGCGCTTATCGTCAACTTCCTTGGTATTTCGCATCAGCGACCATCTCCTCCATCTGCCATCTCCATGAACAGTGGTGGGGGTTCAAGAACAATGAAGTGAAGGTGCGGTCTCGGGCGAGGAATAGTAGAATATGGGAGACGAACTGACCTACTTGGGACACAATGCCATGCCGCCTCCCATGCCCTACTCATCCTTGGAGGGTCCGCGACCTGTGTATCGCCGGCGCTGGTGGACGTGAGGTCAATGATGAACGTGGATGATCCGTCATTGTTCACATGCCACGTCCGCCCCTGAAAGTTGGACTGCAGCGCGTAGGACACACAACTGGCGGTCGCGTCCGCGTCCCGCTACACCGGCTCTGCGTTGCGAGCAAAAAGTTGAGCGCGCGCGGCTTCGTAGAGCGCCCGCTCCTCCACAATGAAGTTATTGTTTGTTGCGGCCATGGAGGCCATGGCCATCTCGCTTGCGCGCTTACCGTAGATTTGGCCCTCCGCAAGCCGGTGCTACTTGAGGAGGAACATGTTCTACCTCTGCTCCTCCCGCGTCTTCCGGAACACCGACATAGGAGCTAGCGTAGGCTGCTCCTTCTCCGCCATGACGGTGTCGTAGTGTGCCTGCACATGCTCCATGGTCAGGCCGACATGCACTAGCGCGCGGTCCGGCGCCATGTCGTTGCTGGAGCCCATAGGGTCGTTGTCGAAGACCTCGGTCGAGCTGGCGGGCATGCCCTGCTCGATCCGCCCGACACGGTTGAAATGCCAAGCGGCCGCAATGGCGTTCACCTCGTGCTTCATCTCCGGGACACACTATTCCCCAGAGCATTCTTGCTCGTGGTCGTGGCGGATGTGGAGCAAATGAGGAGGATGTGGAGTGGATGTGTTGTACTGTGGAGTTAGCTGGGTGTGGCCGCCTTTAAATAGCATATTTTGGTGAGATCAAGTGCCCAGGTGCGTCAATGAGTGGCGCTAGAGTTGGTTCCTCGGCCAATGAGCCTGCTTAATGGTGGCATACGGATGGTCAGGCATTAAATGGGCGTGGTAGATATCCGCCACGTCATGTATAGCAAATGTCGCTCCGGCATTGAACCGGGACGGAGACCAACGCCACATCCGCTCTTGTTTGGTGTCATTATGGAGCGGCATCTCTACAACGACATGAATGCGAGCAGCTCGCGTCGGGTGGGAACGCACGGCAAACGAGGGAGAAGTGTTTTTCTTTTTTGGGTCAGGGCAGTCAGACGCGTGCGTGACAGCGGTCCAAACATCCGCAAAGCTCCTCTAGTTTGTCTCTTGTTTACCGGAAAAGGGCGTTCAGAGATGCTTCTTAGTCCAGGCATTAGTAGGTGTGTGCATTCGATCGATTACCTCTACAACGTGTTTGGTTGGGGGTAATTAAAGCCAGGGATTGGGAAATGAAGGAGTATGAGATTTCAAATCTATCGTTTGGTTGGAGGGATTGGGAATTCATAAGGGAAGAGACATGAGACTTGAGACTCCAACTCCCACTGTTTTATTAACAAGGGAGGGGGTGGGAGTTGGAAGGGAATTGTTTAAGTGAATCAATCTTAACTATTCATCCTAACTTCCCTTGTCTAGTCCCATGTCAATTCCCATGAACCAAACATGGGAGTACAATTTCTCCTCAAATTCTCACACATAACTCCTATCACGCACCAAACAGAGGATTGGGAATAAAATGACTTATCCCATGTCTAATCTCGACACAACTCCCTACTCTAAACTCTCGTTCCCCTTCCCAAATATTACCAAACAAGCTTAGAGTTTAATTTGCATGCCTGATTCGTGGGTCACGAATGGTTTCCATCGCAAAAGTACACCTGCGCGGGCTGGACACGAGCCAGCTCGGTCAGGTTTTGGTCTGGTCCAGCCCTTGGCTCGGCCGCGTGGCGGCAGAATTTCGTGTTTTGACCCTTTTCGCATACCAATTCAGGATCTGACCCCGGTTGGAAATAATTTCAGGATTTGACCCTTGCGCTACCGCAAGGGGTTCTGGCGGTAGGATTAGACAGCCTACCGCCACGGTCCTTGGCGGTAGGGTGCAACAGAGGGGGACGCCGGCTGCCTCCACATGCTAACGTGGATTAGTACCCTACCGCCAGGGACTATGGCAGTAGGCTGTCTGAACCTACCGCCAGCACCCCTGGCGGTAGGGGGTGGCTTGGGTTTTTGCCTCTGAAAGGTTCTGTAACGAAAAATCGCAGCGGCCTGTGACCAAAAAAAGCACTGCCCTGGCGGTAGGCTGTCTGACCCTACCGCCAGGGTCCTTGGTAGTAGGGTCATGTTTTTGCCTCTTTTCAAAAACAATATCACAGATCTCAAACAATACCACAGCAATGATATAGAGTCTAAAAGACATATCTCAAACAATTAAACTTGGGGATCACATACACATTAATAAAAGTTGAACTAAATAGACATGTCAAATGAAGTTCAACTACTTAGCAAATAGAGTTCCACATAGTTTCACAAATAGCAAACACATAGTTCCACGTAGTTTCACAACCACTAGACAACCCAACTACAAGAGCCAAGTATCCAAGAGCAGAATTACTTGCTCCTTCTCCTCTTGGAGGTACGGTCCTCGTTCCTCTTTGAATGAGTATCTTCAGTCTTCTTATTGGGACATCGAGTAACCGGTCTTTGGAAAGGGTCCGGACTCAGCAAATCCTTCTTCTTCGGATTCCTCTTCGGCAACTGAGATGGTTGAGATGATTGAGTTGGTGGAGGTCCGTAATCTTCATCGTACTCCTCCTCCCCATTGCTCTCATCCTCCTCTTCCTCATGACAGGCCTCCTCCTCCTCTTCTTCATGTGTGGCCTCCTCCTCCTCATCCTCCTCCTCCTCCTCAACCAACCTAGATGACGAGGGACCATGGCTCGATGAGCCGATGTGACCCTGTGTGGCTGCAGGATGATAAGCTTCAACCAACCCAGCTCCAGCTGAAAGCACAAGTGCTCCCTGGGTGATTTTGGTAATTCATGACAACATATCTCTTGTTGGATTAATACCTCTACCTAGTATATTTCAGATAAGTTCAAAGTTGGAGTGGCATGCATATGGATAAGAGGATGTGGAACCCCTTCAAGATGCTAAGGACAAATATTGGCAGAAGCTCAAGACTCTATATTTTCCATTTTAGTGATCCAAGATCACATTGAGT